AAAAGGAAGGAGCTGATGAAGGTGGTTTGTGAGCAGTGCAGTGGGAACTTCTGTATAAAACACCGGCATCCACTGGATCATGACTGCAAAGGGAGTGGCCACCCTCTCTCCAAGGCTGGGTAAGCTCTACTTGGGTCACTTTGTTTAGCTGTAGCATAAGTTACAGTCACAGTGGTGGGTGGGGAATGTTGGCAAATAATCCTATTGCCTACAGGATGATGCTTTGTCAGAATGTTGAGAAAGCTTAGCAGGAAACAGTGACTATTTTACTGAAGTAGTTTGGGTTTGGTTTCTGGAAATCTGTGAGCTAAGATGAGAGCTTTTAGTAAAACTTTCCCAAAGCTCTTCTAAATGTATCTGACCCACTCAAAGAAGGTGGATGTTTCATGACTGAGAATATACCGTCCAACTCCAAGTACCCTTTGAGGCCTCAGTGTAAATATTAAAATCCTAAAATTTTGCCCAGAAACACTGAATAACCAAGAATATGAAATGAATAAATTTTTTGCCAGGCAGAACTTAAACTTAACTGTACTACATCTTTCTCTTGTAGGCAGACATATCTTTCTTGCTGTGTGCAATAAGAGGTGCTGAGCCTGGTTGTATTTCTTTGTAGATATGCAGCTCTGATGAGAGCCTCTGAAAGTGCCTTCAAATCACCAGGAGCAATTGGAATGCCCTCTCATGGGAATCTCCAGCACAACAGGTATAAGCTGCAGGATGAGCAAAGCTAGAATACTATAGTATTGTGTCTGTGTATTTGAGTGCTGCTGTTATGTGTAGCTGCATCTACTCTGGAGTTCAGTTGGCCTTTGATCAGTGTTGGGAATGCAGAGGAGGACATTTGGAGATCTTTCCTCACTGTACTTTATCAGTTAAAATGGCTACATAGACTCAAGGCACTTAGAATTCTCTATTGTAGTAATTGGCTGGTGTCTCACCTATTCAGTATGAGGCCTGGTCAAGTTGTTGGAAAATGTTTTTTCAGCAGAATGTGGTGAAAACAGTTACCATAAATAGACCAATTCCATTTCTGCAAAGGTGTAAGTCCTTGTGTTGAGCAGTTCAACTCTTACAGTGCATTCTTATGTCTTTCAGATGCAGATAGAAGCTGTTCCTGCTCCTGGATCAAAACTTCCTACTTCTAAACTACTTTTGTCTAAAGTTCTATTATATTTTCTATGGAAATAAAGGTTACTTTTGTATCTTAATACTTTATGTTCAATAAATGCTGCCTTTTTCAAGCCAACTTGACTTGTTCCTATATTTGGAATAGGAACTATAATACTACAAAAACTCTGAGGGAACAGGGATGGGGGTTGGTTGTGGTAGAAGACTAGAAGTAGGATGAAGCATAGCCAGCTCTCCCTAGGTCCTGCTAAGTCTGAACTGTAAGTCTCCTGAGATGAAAGTCTGAAATAGTTTACTGTCAATTCTCAGATCCTTTTGGAAATGATCTGGCATACAGCACTGCATTTTACTTGACAAACAGCTTGCATCAAGCAGAAGCTTGGTTTGTGTAAGCTGTTCCTTCACCTCTGGATGTCACTGGAATACTTGATTTATAAATCCATACCTAGTTTTCCTTAGGCTCTCCCTAAGTAATTCACCTAGGACAGTGTTCACAGAGGATGGAGAGCATCATTCTTCATACTTTATTGCTCCTTAAATAGAAATCTAGACTTCGGGAGGGTTTTGTAGTGGGGACCAAAAAAAAAAGCCAGATAAAAGTAGGCTCACTTTCATCGTAACAGAAGAGGTAAATGGCAGCAGTGTGTGTGTGTGTGTGTGTGTGTGTGTGTGTGTATATATATATAGGTTCCTCTCCCTGTTTTCCCCAAAAGCTTCTTCAAACAAGTGAAGACATAATAGATATAGCAAAGCTGTTATCTTCATCAGCTCTTTAAAACTGCATGAGCTGCATGCAGCTGCTTAGCTTGGGGGCTGAAAGCTGTGGCTTGATGAAAGGGGAGTGTGCTGTTAATGAACAATGCTAATTCCCCACCTGGGATCTAAGTAGACCTCTCACCCAACAAATTGTGAGAAAAATGCCAAGACTCCTTGATGATGTCAGGGGGTCAGGACCTCAATTTCATGTGTCATTGGAACTATTCTTAGTGCACACTGGGGCTGGTAGGCTGCAGTGTTGGTTTTGAACCAATGGAAGGGGTAATTGCACTCCCTTGAATCACCTGCTGCTATGAGCTCTGCTGAGGTAGAAGAAAGAGCAGTTTGCTAGTAGTGGTACATTCTCTAACCAGGGAAAAAGGTTTGCTAGTGGCTGAGATGCAGAATCAAATGACCGTTAATGTATATACTTCATGCTATCTTGAAGTCTGACTATTATGGAAAGGCTTCTGTGCTGTCTTTTTTTTTTAACCTTTAAGAATCTCAGTGCTTAGAATGTTGCCCAAAGAGATGTGAATTTATGGTTGTTCATAGGAGTAGCATATAAAGCTTCTTTTCCCCTCCTGCTTTGGAGGGCACGAATATAATGCTAAAGTCAGAGCCACCAAACAAAAAAAAAAAAAAAAGTACCCTTTCCACCATTCAGTTTCATCCCACTGCAATTTCTCCTTATCTAATGAGAGAGTTTTCTAGAGGATGACTAAAGCTGCTCTCATCATCTGGTTGGTTATTCATTTGATATTCTGAAATTCATTATTCATTCTGGATGGTTGTGCATTGTTCGAGAGGCCTCTTCTAGCTATGTAGGAGGCAATAGCTGGACTGGAAGGACATGTTAGGTTGGAAGGTACAGGCTGCTCCTGTTAATTCTGTAAGCTACTGTTTTATGCACTCGGCCCAAATTTGGGCTGTATCTGTAATACTGTGTTTCACCAGAGGATGTCACAATAGGATGTGTAATAGAATCATCATTCTTGGCTGTCTAAGCACAGAAAACACTGCTTTCCTTATTCACACTGGAACACAAGCTTAAATTACAGTGCTAACTTTGGATATTGCCTCTTGTTGTTTATGGGCTGAGCTCTACACCCATAACTCAGCCCCAGCTTATTCCTAGAGTATTATCTCAGTTTTGGTGCATCAGACCGGGTGCTGTGCATCCCCTCGTCACAGCTGCAGCTCCTGACTGTCATGTGAGGGCACAGGCCTCAGCTGAGAGCTTCTGCCTGGCCTGGGAGCCATGGGGGCACCTGGGGGCATTCACACCCTGCCCTGCAGGGAGGAGAGGGGAGGAGAGGCAGATGAGGTGAGACCTGACTTGGGTGGAAGAAGGGAGAAGAGGTGTGAAGGTTGTCCTATAAGCTGTAGGCATTTGATAGAGGGTGTTGTGACCACCATTATCTGCCACCACCACTAGCTGCTCTGGTGGTCAGTGCAAATGGGACCTGAAAACCACTGTGTCAGGTTATCAGGAGGAGGAAAAAAAAAAAAAAAAAAAAAAAAAAAAAGGTTTAATCTATCTATGTTTTCTTTCTCTAAGTATTCTCACCCTTAAAATGGCCCGGGGAGGAGTTGTGGAAAAGTCTGTGTGCATAGTGCCTATTTATAGGAAAGGAAAACATGGAAACTGATAATTTTCCTGGAAATGTCAGCCTGGGAGGTGTCTCCTCACCCCCTCAAACCACAACATCTGCCTGCGGCCAGCCCGTGCCTCAGACACCCCCTGCAGCCTGTGCTGGTTCAGGCCCTGGCCCCTCGCACCCCGCCCGCTAACGAGAGGGAGGGAGCGCCGGCCGGGCGGCGCTGGCAGGCGGCTCGGCCCGCAGCGCGGCTGGATCCCGGCGGGCCCCGCTGCGCTCGGGCCGGCCCTGCCAGGCCCGGGACTCGCCAGGCCCGGGCGGGCCCGTAGCATCACCCGGGCAACGGCGGGGCGGGGCGAGCTGTGAGGCCCCGCCCACACAGGGGGACGTCTTCTACGCACCTCGGCGCGTAGAAGTGACGTCAGGCTCCACCAGCCGGCCGGGCCGTTCCTAAGCACGCGCAGCTCCCACTGAGCGTTCTAGGCGGAGCGCGACTTCCTATTGGCCGCTGCGGTGATTGGCGTGGCGGAGGCCAACCAGGCTCCGCCGCCGGGTCCGCAGGGCCAATGGGAGGCAGGGGGCGGGCTGCGGCGCCAAGCGTGGCGCCCGGTTGAATGTGCCGAGGAGGCGGGTCKGAGRGGKGSGKGSGGGRKGGGGGGGGGGGGGGGGCGCTCTGCGGTGCCCCGTGGCCCCGCTCGTTTGGACCGTTAGAGCCCAACGGCCGCGGGGGCTTCGCTCGTTTGGACCGTTAGAACCCAACGGCCGCGTGGGTCCCGCGCGGCTCGGGGGGCAGCTCGTGGCAGGGCTGAAATGGGGAACTGCAACGTTGCTTTTCCTTTTAAAAGGGAACATTTTAGAGTGTTATTAAAAAAAAGAAGTGATAAACTGGCTCATCACCGTCCCTGGGATATTGCTGAGTGACAGAGCACAACGCTCCGGGCCGTCTGCGGGGGTTGGTTTCCCAGGTTTCCCTGACTTGCATTTACAGCTAGACCTGACTTCAAACGAGGGTGTCCTGCGGTTCCTCCCGCCCGCCTTCCCCCTTAGGCCTATGTAAAGTGAAAGACAATCAGCGAGACATAGTTCTTTAAGCTCAGTTTTCTTATTTTTATTTTTACAATACTCTTGTATTTACAGTGAGAAAGAAAAGCTTGTGGTGTAAACAGAATTATCAGTTTGAGAATAAGGTAGATTTATTGTTTGCTTGTGGGTATGAGCACACCTGTATATTAAAGTTTTGTTAAAGTATTTAGAGCAGAGGTGGGTCTGACTAGTGCAGTCTGGTTTGGCAGAATTAGCAACAGGCCAGGTGGTTAAATGTGATGTGTGATAACCCATGGAAAGGGCACCATCCGTTATGGTCGTTATTGCGGTGAGGGTTAGCGAAGGGTTTTCTGTGGTGGGGTTTAAGAGAGGGTAATAAGCCCAGCCTTGACTCTTCCATGGGAGAATGCATTAGCTTGACTATAATGTTTCTAATTGCATAATGTTCTATTTTAGAATGGCAAAAATGAAAAACAGAGAAATGAAGGAAGAGAAAAGAAAAAAGCGAAAGCGGAAAGTGGCCCAAGAGGCACAGGAAGAATCTGAAACTGAACAGAAGAAAGAAAAACAAGATCTGAAGGTAGGTTCTCCTCGTTTTGGTTGTTCAATTCAATAAGATAAGTTAAGCCAAGAGTACATGCTCTCTGTGTTGAATTCTTTTTCAGTGCTTGAGATGGAGGATGGGTGAGAGCACGTGGATGAAAGGGGACCCAAATGGCTTTAAGCAATTGTCATATGGCAGTAGAGGCGTAGCTTAAGACCTCATGTGATCCTGAGTGGTTGGGAAAACATGAAAGGTTTTTCTATGAAAAGCCTGTTGGTTTTGGAAAGAATGTCAAGTGGCCAGAAGGTGTCAGCAGTCTCTTTGCTGTGTGGAACACTATGAATTAGTTTTATGGAAATAAAATTAGCAGCATGGAGATGCTGTTTAAATGAAAACTTAATTTCCTTTCTTTCCATCCCCTGTCCTTCAGTTATTTCACTGAAATATTTCTACTGGCTTATTAGTGTGCCTTTTTAAGGAGAAAAAAACCTGAAACTGTAAGTTTATTCTGGTGGGAATGCTACATAAACAGGGCATATCAGTTCGTCTGTTCTGAGTGGTTATTGTAGAAGAAGGACCAAAGAAATATGAGGTGGTTTAGTAGTGTAGAGAAATGGAGAAGAAAGATAAAAGTTTTTTCTTTAGGAATTCTAGGGGTGATTTTTAGGCACAATCCTGCAAGACACTTGTAAGTTTCCTGGCCTAACATAAAGTGGATTTGACTGTGACTTGTTACTTTCATTTATCTTCAGATGTAAAACCTAGTGGAGTGCATATAATAATAATAATTTTTAAAAAGTATTTCCTATTTTATTATTTGGTATTCTTAAGCTTATTTGACAAGAAAATTTTCTGGGAGTTCATTCACATGCGTGTCTCTATTACCTTCAGAGTTTGTAAAATGTACTAGAAGAAAAACTACTGGTAGTAGCTATTCAAAGGTCTACAGATTATGGAAATTCTTGCAGTTCAGAAGTCAGCAGAAATATTCCTAGGTAATGTAAGGAAAAAGCCCATCTACGCCAAAGCAAAAATGGAACAGCTGGTATTTATAGCTCAGTAAGGGGGTGTGTTTCTTATTCTTTCTTTGTATGGTGTGTATTATAGCTAGGTACACAAATATAATTCTGTTTTAGCAAAACAGTTTTACAAGAAAAACCTGTATGAAACTGAAATGACAAAATATTATTGCTGTGTCGATGTGTAACTGTGTCAATTTCATGTAGAAGTGGAAAAAAATGAACAAGTAAATTTCAAGCAAGAAAGCAGCGACTCTTTGGACTGTTTGGTGTCTTCTTGTAAGTGCACAAGAATACAAAAGTTATTTATTTTTGATCTCACATACAGTCAGAGTGGAAGAAAAGGCAAATAGCTATCAGTAGGCACAACAGTCCTTAACACTGTGAGAGCTGGTGTCGTTCGGTGCCTTAAACATGTGTGTACTGCTGCTTTTATGGAATACCATATAAGGTCTGTGACAAGTCATTTTTTGGCATCAACTTTATAAACTCTAACTGTTGATAGTGGAAAAGCATAAGTTAATAGAACACATTTTTTCTTTGTTTGAAATAGCCGAGAGTGAAAAATGCTGGGCAATTAATCAGTTTTACCGCAGAAATAGTTATTCGCTGTTGGTATTGACTATGGTTATTGACTATGCCAGTTTGTAATTGTTACTCAGCATGTGTACTCCTAGCTTTATGTAAAATACTCAGGTAATTTACAATGGCAGTTAATTTAAAATGCTTTTGGTCATCAAACCTTGTCAGCATGGAAATGGAGCCTGGAAAACAAGTGGAATCTGCATTGCTTGGAGGTTTGTACAGGAAGATTAGAAGCAGCACTGAGGCTACTCGGTTTGAGTAGTTCCAAAGAAGAAATTCAGATCAAAAGATTTGGACAACTGCTGAGAGTGTTTATTTTGGAGCCTTATTTTCTTTAAATTTGATTTTTCTTCTGTTACTTTAAAATAAGTTGGAGCCTTGACAGATTTTAATATTTTTATCTACAGAAATGCCTGAGGCATGCTGCCTGGCTCCTCATGAGCCATGATTGCCTTTTAATGCAGTAACTGAATTAAACAAAACTTTTTTTTTGGTCATTCTTGAAGCCAGAATGAATATGATCTAGTTCCCTTTGATGAATTGTGTATGTGATGGAAACAAGCCAAAAAATAGCTCTAGACCACTGAACTTTATGTAGAACACATAATTTTTGGTTGGAGAGAGGCTTTCTGAGTTCATTGAGTCACTGGTACTTACCTGTGATTTTTTTTTTTCTATTTTAGTAGAGCAGTTTTAGTGTCTAAAGTGAAAAATGCAAATCTCTAATTGATTTTGTTGTAGAACTGCAGGAGGCCGATGTAAAAATGTGTCTTAAGTGCCTGGATGTAGTGTTGCATTGATCAATCTTTCATGAAATTTGTTTGAAAAATTCTCAGCAGCCAAAGACTGAAGCAGGTTTCCTTGGAACAACTTGGCCTTTCAGCGTAATCTTGATGTTTTATTGATTTTTCATCTGCTCACTTTATTCTGTTTACATTAAATAGCAATGAGCAATTTAGATCCAATATAAATGTTTTCATGAATGATCTTAGAACCACACAGCTCTAAATGACTGAATGATATTGAACCTTATTGAACCTTGTTCAAAGAACCTTTATTGACAGATTGTCTTAACATTCATGTTTTATTTAGGTACTTGGCAATAAAGCTGTATATTATTAACAGTGATTTTTTAAAAAGTGTCTGAATATTCATTTTGCTTTTTATGATTTCTAGTTTGTCAGCATACTTGTATTTTAAACCTTGTTGTTCTTGGAGATCATTCTTTGATTTGTCACACAGTATGGGCATTAAGAAATGTAAAATGCACAGTCTAGACTGGTGGTCCTACATTAATATAGTGGCTTCTTAAAATGAAATATTCTTTTGAAAAGAATATTCACAGTATTGCTATAAAATAATCTTGAAATAACAGAAGCATTAGAAGTGTTCATTTGCAGTCACTCATGCCTTTATTTATGGATCTCTTCATCTTTCAAATTTTTAGCTGCTCCAGTGGCACCTAGTTTATAGGAAGAGCAGTCCTGACATGTACAGCATGTAGGTAGGGAACAACAAGCTGTGGTTGCCTTGTTTAGGAGGCTATTTGAAAATGACCTTATTGGTCTCCTAACCTTGCAATTTCAGAATAGACCCTGTTTCTGCAGTGATGTTTTTAGATCTGCGGACTTGCTCCCAAACAGTGAGAAATTCTTCCAGAGCTGAACAACAATTAAGCATGACACACTCAAAATATTATCCGACAAACTGTAACCTTAAGTAGAAATGAGTAGGATCAATCAATAATAAATCAGTCAATGATTAGAGATCAATAAACCCAAACCTTGTTATGTACAGTTGAAAACACACTATGCCCTCTTAGGCAATGGTCATGCAATCAATAGCAGTATTCTTGTAGGCTTCTAGGCAGTATTTTCAGCATTGCAAATGGTTGAAGGAGGAGGAATCAACATTTTCCCGAGATAAAGGCACAATCAGTGGGAAAGGAATTTAATTTTTGAGATTCCATACAAATAGTACAAACAATGGCAAATAAACAAGTAGCTCATAGTGTTTCTTTAATCAGAAGGCTAGTATGCAGGTGCCCAAACAGTAAGATCTGTTTACTAAATGGAAAATGGCAAAATCAGTAGGGAAAGCATTCTTCTGCTGAGCCTTTTTGGGGTTATTGCAGAGGCCAATGATGAGTTATTAAACTAGTTCTGCAGCAAAGCAAACTACAGAAAGCTATCCTTTAAAATCACTCGTTTGATTGTAGTGGTGGAAAACTGCATAAAATCACATTGTTTAAGCTATGGAGATAAACATTTTAGAACAAACTTGGTGGAATGGCTGAGAATGCTCCTTTGATACTATCTAAAAGGATACTTGTAATCAGGTACAATAATTTGGAATGAATGCAAACCAGGCAACACTACAGATCTTACAAAGCAAATCCCATAAAGCTGTCATCTGGAAGTGTATTTATTTCTTTGACAACTCACTAAATCATTATCAGAGTCTGTTGCCAAAAAATAGTTGTTTGCTGACAAACTCAGTAGCAAGTCCTTTATTTTTCCATTAATTTATTATTTTATTAATAATTAATAGGAGGCTTCTTTCATAGCCATCAAAAAACTTTTTTATTTTCCCTTCCTGAAAAAATGTTATCAAACTCCAACTTCAACTGTAATGTTTCAGTGTGTTCTTCTCATTTCAGACTGCCAATATGTAGCTGTGTCTCTACTTATATACAAAACTTTTCAGAAAGTACTTGTATTGCAACTCTGCTATCAGCTTTTCCTGTACTCGTTTACTTCTGCATTACTCTCTTAACCCAGTGTTGTATGCTTCAACGTCATGTGTGTTTATTAATATTTTTGCTTTAAAATTATGTGGAAAACTAGTCTTATATGCTGGAAAAAAAGGGGAAAATTACAGTAAAGTTCCTTTTATTTAGCTTAGACCTCCTAAAATAAGTATTTGACCTTGTATTGCTTTTTGGTCATTTGTTTTGTATCTCCAACATGCAAGTTTTGCCTTTCTTATAAAGAGATGACACAATGTTCCCCCCCATCCCATTTCTATCTAACAGTGCATCAGCAGTTGATAACAACATTTTGTTGAAATAGGTACCTCTGGTTAAGTTATCTTTCTTTTGATGATAAAGGTGGAATGATAACTATTTCTGAAAATGATGAAGGTAAATATCAGTATGGATGTTGCTTGTTTTGGTCACTTTGCATTGTTGAGCTTACTTCTCTTTTCCTTGGGTTACCTTTCAATTGAGTGTTTAACCTCATTCTATTTGTGTTTTCTTCCCCTTGCACCAAGAGACTGGTTTGCTGGTACCCACTGGCTTCTGATCACTTCTCTACAAGCTGGTCTCCTAATAGTAGGAAAAAAGAAAATACAAAGATATGGAATGCAAACTATGATTTGGCCCTTATAATTTAATGTGTGGGATCATTTTTTTCTCCTTAGTTAATATCT